CATTCGCTGTAAATTTAGTCTTTCATTTATGTGGCTATATCCATGGATGACTACGATTTAGCAAGCCGATAGTTGTTTTGGCGCTCACCAGCACCGTTCGCTGCGTCCTATGATGAACTAATTTCTGGGTTCGCCTTCCCTATGAGTTAGACAGTATTGCTGGACGAACGGTTTCCACACTCGATTGTGACCCAAGGATGGGTATTGGTCCTAGCCTTCAAATCACGAAAATGTTTTTCCTCAGTAGTTCCCCGAAGATGCGGCGTCTCTGCGTGAGACACAGAATGCGCTTAAATAATCTTGCATACGCATAGTATTTGTATGTCGGCGTCTCCCTTGACATCTCCAGCATGCACGATATTTCGGATATGTGATACCTCTCTATAGGAACAATATTTAGGAGCTTCGATGGCGATTTAGTATCAAGATCAACCAATCGTTGATCTCTGGGGTGGATGGTTTGATCAATCTCGCAGAAAAACTAACGATCACAACGCCTTACAATATGTATTTTTTACATTGAAACAGCGATAGCTGTTGCGCTTTGTGTTCAACGAGGTTTACTCGACTATTCTGCATTAGTAAAAACATACTGGCCAGAATATGAGCACAATGGAAAAGAGAATACAACAGTAGTTGATATTCTATCGCACCGTGCTGGACTGACATTAGATAATTATCCGATGGAACGAATTTTGAATTGGACAGGCATGGTACATACCCAGGTCGTTATCGATCAGTCGGTTCTTGTCGGGCGGGTTATAATTCCGATGTCACATGGGGACCGGATTCGGTCGGTTAATTTTTGGTGAATTCCGATGATTTTCTTTGTTTTCTTATGAAATCTGGTTGCCGGATTCTCCGAGAATCGGTCAGATTTATATTGCCGGAAAATATCAGGTTAGATGATACGATTGGGCCGTATACGACGTGATCCGACAATATCTGGTAACGAAACTTTACCGGAATCTGCCGTGCCGCATGACGCTCGACTTCATGGTAGATCCGGCTTAATCAGTATCACCGGAACCAATCGGATCATATCAGAACGGAACGGTCCTACTAACCGGGTTAAGCCACTTAGTACAACACAGATCCGACCGAAACCGTCAGTATGTAATTAACGAATACTAAGGGAACACCTTGCGATTCATTCAAACTATTACTTAACAACTCACACAAACGGTGATACCCATGAATTGAAAATTATAATCGATCCAATACAATTTTTATGAAAAAGCAATAAAAATTAGCAAAATGATCACGTATTTATTTATCCTGACCGAAGTTATCGCCTCAAATGATGCTCACTCAAGTAGTTAATCATAAATCCTACCAATGTAACTTGATTCGACGACCAAATCCTGGTCTAACGCGAAATCCAAAGCCATTTATGATTACCCAGGGCGAGATAAACTCCTTACATATCCATACTACGTTACCCGTCGATACGATTCCAAATCATTTAAAACGCCGAACAAACGTGTTTGCTCCGTCTGGTGCCACCGCAAGCATCCTTTCGAATTACCAACAAATCCACTTGCGGATTGTAGGATATAGATTACACAAAATAAAAATTAGGTCCTATAACACTATTTCGGCATAGAATGTCACTCAGAATCAAATTAACCAGGGAACAGGTCTCTAGCAACAGTCCAAAATGATAATCAGAACGATTCTGCAATCCTTAGTGAATTTTTCGATTGGTCAAAGGTGGGCAGGGGACTGGCTTTGCTCAAATGTAAGTATCGTTGGGCCCGTAATGAGAAATGCTTAGAATCCTGTTTCATGACAAAAAGGTAAGTTGGAACCAGCGAGAATGATTATCTGAAACATTTTCCATGTCTTAGTGAATTTTTCGATTGGTCAAAGGTGGGCTGGGGACCGATTTTCTTCAAAGAGAAGAGTGGGTGGGTCCATAATGAATGATCCTTAGAATCTTGGTTGACGAGGAAAAGATACTTTGGAACTATTGAGGTAGTTTATCTGAACCATTCTGTACGATTGTTACAATCTTTTGATTGGTGAAAAATGATGCGTGGAGCGATTGTCTATGAATTTTTGGTGAACACAATGACGCATTGACTAAGTTTTGAATGTAATTAATGGATTAAAACGTTAGTGGGCATGATCCAGAATGACATTGAGATGCATTTTCTATTAATTATCAATGATTTCGATGGGTGTAAAATGATGTCAGGGCGATGTTTTCAAGAAGTGTAATGCAAAAAGATGGCGCAGTAAACTGGTTGGTATTGTGTTTAATGAATACGGTGTGTAGTAGGTTGGTTTCGGATTATTCTAAGTGTGGGCATTAGTGAGCCAGATGATGTTGCTTTCGGGTTACAATTTGTTTAGGGTGATTGCTGTTGGGAGAAATGCTTGTTGTGCACCCGTTTGAGCGGTGAGGTTTGGATTATGTTGTGATTATAGATCAGGCGTAGTTGTTTCGGTTGGTGTGCGTGGTTTTGAAGACTACAGTTGATTCACGTTTTGATTAAAGAACGCTTGTATGAGAGATTTTTTATGAGGTCCTTGTCATCGGAATTGGATGGAATCCGGTCAAACATGTGGTGAAGCCGTTGTGAAACCGGCATCATCCGGTAGTCCGAGTGGATCGGTTGCGACAATGTTCGGTTGTATTATCCGGCAGGAAACGACCGGATCATTTTCCTTTAAATTCCGTCGGGGTTTCCGGGAGCAAAGATTCCGGCGAAATCCCTGTCGGATCCTGGCAGATTTGAGTGGGAATCATGCCGTCTTCTGGTGTTATCCGGTGCCGGTTCTAACGGGTCCCGGCTGAATCCGGAGGCAGGATGGAGTGACTTGGGACGATGCATTTACAATATTTCTGTTTTCTATTTGTATTCGTTTCAATTTTGTTTTTCATCGTTCCCTTTCGTATGTAGCGTTGGAGTAAGGTAAACGTATTTAGAGTAATACTTCTTCATCGTGACAATATAAATAATCAAATAGCTATACTTTTATATTTGACGAAAAAAGATCGATTATTTCACGCGAGAAGATTTCATTTTGAAAACTATTAAAAACACAAATAAAGTTCATCTTTTCAATTGCTTGTTCTTACTGTTGTTTTTAAATATAGAAACTGAATGTTCATATCAAGATTTAATTGAAAAATAAGTCATAAACGTTGAGCAAATTTTGTATACATGTGAAACATTATCTAGAAAAATAAATATAAAAGATCGTCAATAATTGCTGTTGGTGTATATACGATGTAACACGACAACATAAAAGATCAATTAGCGGTCTAGTCAATACTACAAGATTTGATTTTTTGTCACTCTCAGGAATGCTTGTGATCTTTACGATCGATTGCATAGTAATCAATCAAAACCACCAAAGACCACTTTATGTTGTGAGCGGGATGTTAAATTTTACAAATAGAAATGAAATTTATTTGATATCGATTGCTTACCAATTGTCTAATTATCACGAATAACAAAAATGAATATAAATAGTAATGATTTTTAACGTTAGAAATCATTCCCCCTCTTTCTTTCTCTTATTCTTACATTCATGTATATTTTATTTTTTAATTATTTTAGCTTGTATTCATACTGACCATTGTTCAATATCACAGGTAAGTATTAGTTTTAGTTTTAAAATTTTTTTTCGTTGTCTCAGCTTTTTACCCCATTTATTTATTTTAATTTTATATGATAATAATTGTCTTTCTATTTTCATTTTAGTTTTTATTTTACTTTCCTATTTTCTATTTTAGTAATACACAAAAAGTAAGTATACGCTTGTATATTTAATACGTCCTACGGAGGCCTTCCATACATCCGCGTGAAACTGGCCAAGCCTATCTTGGTGACCATAGCACGTACAGGCCACATATAGGTCTATCTGTTGTATGTTCTATACACGTTAGATCTATGTCTGTACGTGAAGAACCTTGGTTCTCTATGGCACCACGAAGGTAGTTCTTGGTCGCGCAAACAACTATTAACTGGTAAGCAAAAAAAAATTTTTTTTCATTCCGATCAATTCATTTCTTTTCATTTAACAAATAAATAAAAGAAGAAGAAAAGAAACATATGATGTAATCTTACATTTTAGCATTTTTCTTTTCTTTGAAGTGAAAGAGTAAAAGAAAATTTCTTTTTCTTGTTCATTTACTTCAAAGTATAGAAAAAGAAACGAACAATGAAAAAACAATTCACAAGTCTTATTCGATAGAAAATCGTTGAACACGATGATTTTTCCAATCGGCGACATAGAGATTACCATGTCGACCGAAAGACAAACCAGTGGGGTTGCTGAACTGATTTGCTTCTGCTCCTTGACCGTTTCCACCCACAACTACAGTGCCCTGTTTCTTGTCTCCTTGAGTCCAACGCATTACACGATGATTCCGCGTGTCTGCTACATAGAGTGTACCCAACGTATCAACGAAGAGTCCCGTAGGAGAAGACAATTGTGTCAGAGCATTCCCTTTGCCTTGTCCTCCAGCAATCACAATACCTTCTTTTGCACCTTCCACCCATTTCATCACACGATGATTCCAGGTGTCTGATACGTACACTGAATGATCTCGATCGACAAAGAGAGATGCCGGCCAGTTGAGTTGATTAAGACCATCCCCTTCACCATTACCACCAGCTACGAGAGTGCCATTCTTCTCACCCAATCGATATCGTCTTACTTCAAGTTTTTCGCGGTCAGAGACGTAGAAATATCTCTGCTCATCCATGGCTAATCCCCAACAATAGATGTTGTCGATGAGTATTTCACCTTGTGTTGTACCACTACGACGAGACCATCGTACAACTCGTCGATTCTCTTGATCACAAATAATGAGACTATTCGTCTCTTTGTCAATTGACACATCAATTGGACGCTTCAATTGATGTAATCCATTTCCTGCGCCTTTACGACCGGCAACAACTTGTCCATTCGTTGTATCACCGTTCTTCCATTGCATGATACGATGATTCCCGCAGTCAGCAATAACCACTGTTTGATCATCATCAACAAAGAGACCGTAAGGGTAGCTGAGTTGATTAGTGGCATCACATTCTCCGTGACCTCCAGCAATAGTCACTCCGTTCTGCTTCCATGTAGCATTAGCAGGAATATTAACTAGAAGAGAAAGAGTAAGAATAAAAGGAAATCTCTCTCTTTCTCTCTCGAGTATAGCTAGTATATTGGATAATTTCGAAAGTATCGAGCAAAATTCTTTGAATAGATCGTTCTCTCTCTCTCAAGCGTATTTAAATTCTATATTTTTGTAGAAAATCAAACTTGAATAATTAAATCTAATTAACCCAAGCAGACATTAAAAAGCCATTCAATCGAAGTTTCAAGTGATGAACTCTATTTATTTTTTCTTTTGTGAAAATGATGTAAGACTGATGTTTGTAATTAGAACGTATCTAATATTAAGCGATCAAAATGAAGAACGAATATTGTGTTATGAACCTTTGTGAAAATATTAAAATTATTTGTTAAATGAACTTGCCAATTTTGTATCGCAGACACATAATATGCATTGCAATATTATATTTTGTTTATTCAGATCAATTTTGACTACAATTGCTGAAATGATTACTTTTATTTTAAGATATGAATTACATTATAGTCTTGAGGGTAACTTCTTTTAAAATTTAATCCTTTATTTTGTATTTAGACTAACTCCAAGGACAATTCAGATAATATTTTTAAATTAGATGGCATTCAAGTTTCACTCGTATACGAAATGCGGTGCGAAGCAAGAGTCGAGTACACGAAAAAATAAAAAAATTAGCGAAAAAGGAACAAGCTATCTTAAAATTAATTAGACGTCGTTTTGACCTGATTAGTTTCATATTCACTTGGAATATGCACCTTTTCCTGTCTTCAGCAGTTGTAATAAAAAACAAAAAAATTTGAATGAAGCAGATGATTGAAATTTAAAATACACTCATAGCAGCTATTGTCGAATCTATCACTACGAGAACTCCTCTATCAAGGCTTATGAGCGTGTTCTTATAGAACGATTTCGATTGAACATTTAAATATATCTATAATTTATTATGTAGTTGTAGCTGTGAATGAATAGACTAGTGGCTAATATGTTTTTATTAAATTATTTTAATCATTTCGAATCATGAATACGAAAAGTCCTTTCAACATTGTGTTTTTTGGAACGATATCTGTGAGCGCACTGAATGTCCCATGAAAGATGGAATAAAAGATATCAGCAGTTAGATCTCGATACGTTTACAATGCGTTGGAACGAGTTATTTGTGATTGTCTGGTCTTGATATCATCATGACAGAAATTGACCTGATATGATGTGTACGTATAGTTCCGAAGAAGAAGAAACGAAAAATTGGTCTTGACTTCTCTATTTTCATTTCTTAGTGGAAATGATTTCGTTATTTATGTATAAGAATTTAAAACGAAAATTTTCTACTGAGCAACTGTTCGAAATTTCAAATACTACTTAAGTAACCATTAACAAATGCATCACTGTGAAAACTCCATGTATGTCTAGCGACATGTTTTGCAAGAATGATTTCGGTTGAACATTTAATTATCTCAATGATTCAATATATATTATCAGCTGTGAGCGAATACACTAGTGGTTAGCATTTGTTGATGACGTCATTTTAATTATCTCGAAACTCTCTAACGATAAAACCTTACAAAATCATCATTTTCGAATGATATTTTTAGGCGAACGAATTTAGTATTGAAATTTGGAAAAAAAAGATGTAAAAAGTTCGATCTTGATACTTTCATAGCTAGTTTGAATGGATTTTCTATCATTTACGGTTCTCTAGATCATTGCGTCCCTTCATGAGAATTTTTTATGCGTAATCAAGTTACAAATATTGACATGATGAAATTCATCACTGAGAAAACTCTATTCTTACTTAGTGATAGATTCTTAAAGATCGAATTTGATTGATCGATTAATTATCTCCATGGTTCATTATCTTAGATCAGCTGTAAATGTATAGACTATAGTGACTAACATATGTTTATGACGTCACTTTAACTATCTCGCAACACATTTCTTTCACTTTTGTCATTTTGGAATCACATTTGTGAGTGAACGGAATATCAGATTGAAGAATAGAAAATATATGTCAGAAGTTCGATCTCGATACTTTCATCTCTCGTTTCAATGAGTTTTCTATGATTTTCGGTACTCGAGGTCATCGGGTCACAAAATGATGAAAAAGATGCGTACGTCGAGAAAGCAAAAGAAAACTCGCCACGGACTACATGAATGCTGTGATTTGCATCGCATTAAAAAAATCAATTTAAGTCATCATTATTCCTATCGTATATTTCGGAAGAATCCCTCCATTGATTAGGTCTACTGTTTTTTGTTCTAAGAACATTTTTCACTGGGATTTGTATATGCTAAGAGCATAAATCATGCATAATGTTTGATGTTTTTTTCAGAAACATTAAATTTATCGTTACGCAACATTCTTTTCTCAAGAGAATGCTTTATTGTTATTTCTTTCACTTAAAATGTAATCCTCGTTAGGATGTTACAAACTGTATTCAACGATAATTCTATATAGTTATTCACCTGATAATATCTTTTCTTTTATCAGAGTTTTCCTAGCACTCTTCAGTTGATAAGGATGAATAGATAAACATGTGATAATTAGAATTGTAAAATCATTCATACTTTTTGTTTTCGATGAGATTTTACTGGAAGCACTTGGGACAGGTTTCATTGTGGTTGATGATGATGATGAAGATGCACTTGACTGATGAGCGATTGGAGTTGACTTCGGTTCGTTTAATTTCACAAACGGCGGTTTAACAAATGTGATTGGTGGCGTGATTTCTTTTAATTGAATAATATAGAGTCCTGGTGCAGGGCTTAATTGACTCATGACTTCAAAATAAGAACCAGGCATGAGAATTATTTCTTTTTCAGTATTTTTGAAATACGAATGTTTTGCCACCGATTTTCCATTGATGCATTCAATTGAAAAGAGTGTTCGTTGTCCGTGTTTGCCCAAAAATTCATCAGCTTCAAGCACTTCAACATGAGTAGTACATGAACTCACTCCCCACCAAGCGAATTTCGTACCAGTTTTATATTTTGAGCTTAAATCCACACCTTTTATTCCACGCCATACTGTTCCACTTTGTGAGGGTAATTTGTGCAATGCCGTAAGAAATAATTTGAGAAGCGAAAACCATGGCAGCAATTCTCCACGATTTTCAGCACGTAATGATTCATTAAGCAGCAAATATAAACTGGAGTCACCATCAAATTGCATTGTATATAGGTGTATGGAAGCTGATTCATCTTGAGTTAATTCTTCAGCTGGATTTTGACAATTATTTAATGCAACAAAAATGTGGTCTTCGATTTTATCAAAAAATCCAGCAACGGGTTCAACAGCTTTTGAGAGTGAAACAAGCGGCCTATCTTGATACCCTCCTATCGGCGCCAACATGTGATCAACAGGCTCATCGCTAAGATCTGTAAAACGAGATCTAACACCAGATTGCTTTGCCTCGACCATCTGATTACTAGTGTCTGATATCTTTATTATATAATGTCAGAGGTCAATAGTGATTTGTTTTCTCTCGTTTGTTTTTTTTTCTCTCTCTTCTTCTCGGATATATATATATATATATATATATATATATATATTCTAGTTTAAGTTATGTTTCGCTAGTCAAAAATCTAGAATAACAGAGAAATAAATGACTGTTGTTTTGTTTCCTGAGGGTGTGGTTGTGAGTGGTTGTAGCTTCACTTTTAAACGTATCCACAATCGCACAACCATACCCTTTGAAAAGAAAAGCTAGTTTCTGCAAAAGACCGGGATGTCCGCAAATTTTACAGTTCATCCGCGGTGCGACTTGTCGATTTCTAGTGGATAAGGGCTTTGTATACATGGTCTCATGGAATCCGTAATTACATTATTTTTAATAAAACAGAATACAAGTCAACAAGTAGATTATCAGCTAGATCTCGATGCTAACTATATAGCATTCAAAATAGTTTCTTTTGCATTTAGACTCACATGATTTACTTACCGGGAAAGAATAGACGAAACAAATGATGTATTATTATTGTAGGAGAGAATTTTGTACGACTGGCAATCTTTGCTTGTTTTGTTTCAATGACTCGTGTGTTTCATTTTGCAGCATAGCAACGTTGTACATTTCGTTGTTGTCTTATTAGCCTCCATTTTTTTCGTTTTTTTAAATTTTATTTAAGCGGGCACTTTTGTGAGAAGGACTGTACTTAGCAACAGTAAAACATTCATTGGAAGAGTGATAACCATGAAGAAAAGCAAACAAATCAGACGTCAAATTTGTGACCACACATTGGTAGTCACTTGTGAATGGCTCCAAGTGGATAGGATCGTTTAAAAATAAACAGTGATGGCTTATAATGAAGCGTTGTGCCATAATTGAATAAATAAACAAAATTTATATGGCGATGAGCATAAGAAGAAGTAATACATCTAGCTGTTTTTTTCTTGTAACTTTTACTGAAAATTACAGACTATAGGTTTATTTGTTTAGGTAATTGTGATGAGAATAACCAATCTTTCAAGATGATATGTATAAAATCGGAATAATCTGTGCAAGTAACGCTCGTAGCTTAGACTCGCTTGGCTCTCGACTGTATGTCGTGCTCTTCCGATATAATTGACTGCTTTGCAAGCTTCAACAACATTACTCTCCAGTATTTGAAAAAGAATGGATATGATTTTAGACCCTGACATAAAAATCGATGCTAGATTACTGCATCTTATACACATTTTCACGCTTCTTTCTGCCATGAATTCATCTGATAACACTGTGACTTAAGGACCAACAGGTCGCTAAAAGTGGTATAATGTATACAATATCATGCTAATACTAATCGTATAGCGCATACAACCAGGGCTACCAATAGCATAGGCAGAGGAATAGTAATTCCCCCACCTATCAAGAATGATACCGCTTAGAATGTTTCGATCAACCTGAAATTTTCAGATATGGGTGTGGGTGTTTGGGTGTAGATGCAGATATACCTAGATAGCAGCCAACAGCCCCTACCCACACCCTCACGTTGTCTCTTTCATTTTTCACAAGCGATATGGCGGCAAGCTCAAAACAAAGGATTGGCAACCAAATATAAAGAACATGAGCGTTTTCGCTTAAAAGTAAAAAATTGATTGCTCTAGCTTTTGTTCCAGTAGATGAAGTTACAACTGCATTTGACTTAATTGCCGATCAATTCGACGATGACGCCGATGATTTAGTCGATTATTTCGAAAAAACTGGGATTGGTGAACCAAAAAGAGGCACTTGTACAATTCGTCACACGACAATTCGTTGCAATCAGTTCGCCGCATATATAGGAGAGGATACATTAATTGAATTAAGATATTTAGTGTAGAATGTTACTTAATTAATCACTCTGGTAAACGTTTTTCTTCAGAGAATAATGTCTCTTTCTTGATAATACTTTTTTTTAACAATAGAGATCTGAATTTACAGGTTTTTTTAAATTAAATTAACTAGCATTTAAATGACAAAAATTCAATGGAATTGAATTAAAAATGAATTTAATTTTTTCTAGGATGAAAATGAAAATTATATAGAAATAATGTTTTTTATTCAATAATTCGTAATGATGTAAATTAGTTATCGTTATTTGGAAAAAATATGACTTAAGCAATAACACATAAGAAAATCTAGTATTTGAGTTACACATGTGTCGATAAAAATCAAAATTCTTCAACAAATCATACATGATTCCTGAAATTCAATCTTCTGTATTCCAGAAATAATCGACAACATTTATTTCTTAACACAATTTGTAGAAAATGTAAAAAAAATAATTTGAAATACTCTCAATAAAGTCTAAACCAACATTGATAATCTTTTCTTAAAATTCTTTTCAATTAAAATTTTAACAATTTTAACTTTAATTTTAAACTTTCAATTCTAATTCTTATGAGGGTTTAAACATTTATTCCTCCATCCAATAATTCTTTTAAATTTCAATCTTCATCAGAATTTATCCCCTTAAAGGACTGGAATCCTATTTATCATCAGACTCTTCGTATTTTAAGAAATTTTTTCAGAAGTAGAGTATTGCTTTTTTTGCAGCGCGTCTTATATTCCTCATGTATATCTATTAATTAAATAACATTCTACACTAAATATCTTAATTCAACTAATGTATCCTCTCCTATATATGCGCCGAATTAAACGGTCACCTTCTAAACTTTCAAGCCCGAAAACTTTCCTGATGAAAAAAGGTCGAACCTAAAAAAAGACAACATATTTCTAATCAGTGATTTTTTTTCTGATAGATATTTGTTAATAGTTTGGTACAATCCTATGGGTACTAAAAATTAATTGACATGGAATATCTTCTCGAAAACAAAAATTTCCCTTTACAATCTGGCTTTAATCACATTTCAAATCAGAGTGACTGTAAAAGCCGCCGCACGGTCCGCTTTGATCTTGCCTAAGACGACTCATCAGATAATTAGAATTTTCACTGAAAACATGTCATAGTTAGTTGTTGCTTATTCTGAAAAATATCGAAATAATAACCGTTAGAACGATGCAGCTGTCAGACGAACATAGAGCCCTTCAACAGAGTGTCGAATCCACGATCTAGTTGGAATTGTAAATTTGATTTATAATTAATTAATAAAACTATTTACACGGAATATCGTCGGTGAATAGATCATCATAATAAGCAATATCATCGTCAATTTCTTCTTCACTAGAATCCTAGGCATAAAAAGGAAAAAGAATAACGTCAGAGCTTTGTTTAGCAATGTAGATTGCTGATAATATCGTTGCTAAAATGTTCAAGTATAACTCTTTATATTCTTGTGTAAGATAATAAAAAGAGTGTCAAATCAAACTGATTTTTACACAGAACGCTATGTTTCATATTGAAAATGAATTTGTGCTTCTCCATTAGACTAGTTCTCAGTTTATGAAGCCAAAAGAAAGAACTTAGCCAGACGGTAGAAAAGATCAGTAAGAATCACTGCTATTGAAAAGGTGAATGAATGCAGAGTGATTCAAGGAATCGATATCCATAAATTGGATTGCTACAAAATAGTCTCCACGTTTTGAGTCGCAATGAACAAATTTCACAATTTTACTTTTCCCCTATGCATGGTACTCCAACAGAAAAATGTTTATGGAAAGTATTATATCATAAATAATGAAGGTATTAATGTATTTTTTATACTAATTCTAAATGTCTTCTTTTTCCCTGGAAAAAATACTTACATTATTGACTATTGCTTCGGATGTTTCTGTCATAGTTGGCTCTAGTTGAGACACTCTTTTTGTATTTATGAAAGAGAAAAATTTCTAAAAGAAGCGATGAATAGATGGCAGTTGCCGACTAACGAGTTTTTCATTACGAATGGCTGGGTTTTGTGTTTCTTTTTCCTATTACCTAGTACGCTTATTTTAAAACCATAATATACTAGAAAGACGCAGCGTAAAAAGCTCTATATTTGACATAAGACCGTTTATTTTATAGTTGCGCTGTTAGTAATGTAATGTTCCCCTACAATTCTGAAGGAAAAGGGTGTCGTCTTTTTCAGCATAAGGGCAGTAGATTTGTCCAGTTAGCAGGAGATGTTTGATTCGTGTCCTACCAAAGGGGTCATATCATCCGGTTGTTAGTCTAGCGCCTAACAAGCGCTTTTTGTTTTCAAAGTGGTTTTAACCGTGCGCAACAGATCCTTTTTTTTGCTATTTCTTCGATCATAGCATTGCGTGAACATCTATAGACAATGGCTGATTCTATACCAATTAACACATAGGGTGTGGGTTTATGCATGGTTATTGGTCTTCTCATCACACCCACACCCTAAAAACAGAATTTGATAACAGTTTATCCTCATCTCTCTGCCACAGTCACTTGCAACGTTTGGTCTGGTTTATCAATACAAAATAAAATAGGAAAGTCAGAGTAAAATGAATCCATGACTAACATATATTTATTGCATCACTCTAGATATATTTAAAAATAAAATTGCTATTTTTTGCAATTTCTTCATGATTTAATTGCTGCCTTCAAATAGCACAACCACTAGCAAGCATAGGAGAAAGATCGAAGACAGAAACGTCTTGCTGCTGCTGCTGCTGTTGTTGTTGTTGTTGTTCATCATCATTTGTTTCATTTAAAGCTAGTTCAATAATTCGATTTTCATCATCGTGATCTGTTGCACTACTTGTATGTGATGATTGACTCGACTGTGAACTAACCTTGTTGATAGAGGAACATTTGAATACAATCCTGTGATAACTTTAGTTGATCTTACTTGTCGAATGATATCTTTAACATCGAAACTTTCTTCAGGTAGATTTGATGAAGAAATATCTGATAGTGTATCTTCATTTTGAGGTCTAGATTGATTTAGATTTGAATATTTATGAATGTTTCGATATGGCGTAGATTGAAAAGTTGTTACAGGATGATCTTGAACATTTTCGTCTGTTTCACTACAATCTGAAGTATTATTGGATGACAAAAAGAACATTGGACGGATATATTTTAGTGGTTCTTCAAGCTAAATAGAAAAAAAAACAATAAGAGAATTAAATTTACATTAATAAAACCTGACGCTGGTTCAGTGTATAAAAGTCAAAAAGATCTAAATCTTATTGAATAGTTATTTAAGAAAAGATGAATGATTTGAAATCTTGAAATTTCAATACGAACCTGTGTTTGACATGTTGAATTGGATCGTGGCTAAAATATAAAAATTTCAATTTCAATAAAAACCTATGTTTTAAATCAGCCAGTTAAGTTTGTTCTATACTTTTGTGCATCTCATCCAAGGATGTTTAGCTGCGTGAAGCATCATGATGTTTAAAAAATGTTGAATACGTTCTTTTGTTGTTACTAATCGATGCCGTGCACGATTATTCAAATTTTCATTGATTCGACTCATTTCAACCTATTCAAACATAATAAGAAACAAAAAAAATGAATAGGAATGTTTATAATCGAAAAAACTAGTTTAATAATATATACTTTTCGATTAACACACCGTAATATTGAGCGAAAGTGACCGTGAACACGTAAAGATGAAAATAGTATACGTCGGCATCGTTTTAATTGATATCGAATAAGATAAAGGAATTGACGATAATTGCCAAACATACGACGACCAAGTACAAGTAATTTTTCCGAAAATGACTAAAATATATTTTATATCTAAGATTTCGAAGAATTCTATCGAAGCACGGAAAAAATAATAGTCATCGTAATACAGTTGAGATTTAAAAATAGATTTCCCTTCTATTCTTCAAGATAGTTGAACAATTCAGTGACTTGAAACAGATAAAAAGAGCTTTCTTACGTCCACTTCATCTAATGATCTACCATCTTCCATATTCAATTTTTTCCAAAGCGCTCGGCTTCTGCCAATATGATCATTCAATTCATTTCTAATATATTTCGAATACAGTTCAATAATCACTAAAAGACTGGTTAAACATTGAGAAAATCGTTGAATAAAATAAAATTTGTTTTCTTCAGGAATATGTTCCATATTAGTTGTAGTAGTAGTAGTAGTTGTAGATGATTCGGAATGTTTATGTATAAATGATAAGAATAATAAATCACCGCAACATTTAAAAACTTCATTGGATGTATGATCCACAATTGGACAAAAATATCGAATCGTATCAATATATGAACATAGATAATGATCCAACTTATTTACTACAATAAATAATATGATTAATATCTTTGTTTTTCTCAGTTAGTAAGAGTCTTTCTCAAAACAAAATTTATTTATCAAGAGAAGACTTTTGTAAATAAAGAGACAACTGATGGAAAGACTATCAAAAAACAATTTACCATATGTATAAAATGAACTAAATAATGGTTGAATAATATTTTCGTGTAATACTGATATGGTTTTCTCAATTATTGATAAAATAAAACGAATTGGAAGTAGAAATTTGTTTTTTTCTTCGATATATCGATTTTGAATGTACATCCATGTTGTTGAAATAAGTTTCAATTGAAAAAGTTGTTTTCTAAATTCAGGTAACATGCTAAAAAGAATATTTACCTAGTAAAAAAAGATTTCACATATATATTTAGCTATCAAAGTTTACTTCCCTCATATTCGTCAGTCATATCCACCAATAAAAATCGATTTGTCATCCTCTATGAAACATTTTGAATCAAAATTTCAATTAATTTCATAAAGAAATATAAAATAATGATAAAAATGAATATTCAAAATCAAATATTAGAAGTTGAAGTGTAAGAAATGAAAATAATGATCGATCCAATCGAACATTTCCAAGTCTTCAACTTTTCTCTTTTTTTTCGTTGGGCAGATTCGTCAAGCCAGCTGCTGCAATTCTATTGATAGAAAAGTTACACGCGAAGAAAAAGACTATTTTCCTTCATTATTAAGGGATTATACTTTCAGTTGTTATACAAATTTATTATAATTTTATAGATCAGGCTTCATTGATTGTCCCTTCATCGAGTAAAAATGCGATCTGTTTTCTTTATTGCTTTATTGATTGGTCTAACGGCAGTTGCTACTGCCGAGGATGTACTCGTCTTCACTGATAATGATTTCGAGACTAAAATTAACCAACATGATATCATTCTTGTTAAGTTTTATGCACCATGGTGTGGTCATTGTAAGTTATAAAGCAGAAAGTTTATGGGTATATATAAAACTATTTTCTCTCTGTCAGGCAAACGGCTTGCACCTGAATATGACAAAGCTGCCACGATTTTACTTAAGACTGATCCACCTGTAGCTTTAGCTAAGGTAAGTAAAAAACAGATTTTGAATGATTAACACACTAAAGTTGATGTTTTTAATTCAGGTTGATTGTACTGTTGAAACTAAAATCTGTGGTAAACATGGTGTCAGTGGTTATCCAAGTATGTTGTTGGCTTTTCCCCATCAATAGTCTTTACACATTGTAATTCATTTATACTTTAGCATTAAAGATCTTTAAAAATGGTGAATTCGCTGAAGATTACAATGGTCCCCGAGAAGCCGGTATGTTGAATTAATTTTCTTGAGAATAAATAAAAAAATTATTTTTTATTTCTATTAGATGGTATTGTTTCAACAATGAGATCAAAAGCCGGTCCATCATATCGCGTACTTGAAAACTTAGCTGATTATGAAAAATATTTAGACAATACAGAACCAAGCATTATCGGTATGTATTTTATCGAAAATTAAACAACAACAGAAAAGCTGAATTTGCCTTATAATTTCAAATAGGTTATTTCAGTAGTGAAACTAGTTCATTGAAAGATGACCTTGTTAAAGCTGCTGGTCAATTATCGGAGAAATTCCGTTTTGCTTATACAACATCATATGAAATTCTTGGTAACGTTGAATATTCAAAGTAGGAAATAATGCTCGTTTATTCAAATATAATAATTTATCGATTTCATACTTTAGTAAAATTGTTATTCATCAACCAAAACGATTACAAACCAAACTTGAAAATTCTTTTGTAGTTGTTGAAGCTACCGGTAATGCAATTAAATCATTTATTCTAGAAGAAATGTAAGATTTTCCTTCTGACAATTAAACTACATTCATCAATATATAAATTTATTTTAGTCATGGTCTTGTTGGTCATCGTACACCATCGAATTTCGGTGATTTTTCGAAACCAACTGTTGTTATCTATTATAATGTTGATTATGTTCGTGATACCAAGGGAACAAACTATGTTCGTAATCGTATATTAAAAGTAGCTAAAAAATTAGCTGATGAAAATGTCAAAGTTACTTTTGCTGTCAGCAATGCTGAAGAACTTCGTCATGAATTAACCGAATTCGGAGTTAATGATATTAAAAAAGATGGCAAATATGTTCTTGCTCGTGGTCCAGCTGGTGAAAAATATAAAATGTCAAAAGATTTTACTTATGAACTTCTTGAAGAATTCGCCCGTGCCGTTGCTAGCGGTGATCATGAGCAATATATCAAGTCTCAACCTGTACCCGAACAAACTGATGATGTCAAAGTTGTTGTTGGAAAGAACTTCAACGATATTGTTAACGATGATACCAAAGATGTTCTCATCGAATTCTATGCACCATGGTAAAAAACGAGAACTTTTGTCGTTGTATTGATTTTTAATTCAATGTTTTTCTTTCTATTTTTCTAGGTGTGGTCATTGGTAAGATCAAATAACTTTTTTTTGTTATGACAACATATTATTTTCTTTAGTAAATCACTTGCTCCTAAATATGATGAATTAGCTAAGAAATTAAAGAAAGAAACAAATATTGTTATGTAAGATGAAAAATAAATATTTGAATTTTCTTTTTATTCATCGATATTTTCTCTTGGTTTCTAGTGCTAAAATGGATGCTACTGAAAACGATGTTCCACCTGCATATGAAGTTCAAGGATTTCCAACAATTTACTTCGCACCTAAGAATAGCAAAAGTAGTCCACGCAGATATGAAGTTCGTTCTTTGTTATTTTTTCCAAGAAAATGTTTTAAATCAATTATTTCTAGGGTGGACGTGAAGTTGACGATTTCATTAAATACTTGGCTAAAGAAGCTACTGAACCTCTTAACGGTTATGATCGTAACGGATCAAAGAAGAGCAAAAAGGCAGCCGACGACGAACTCTAAACGAACAATAAAAATATTACCATTATTCTTTATCTCTTGAATAAAATCATTTGTGGGTTTTTTTTTCTTTGCTCCCGCTTTGTTATCATCATACTCAGTTTTTTTTCTTCATTCCATATGTTCCTCTGTTATTTATACTTGTAGCTGAGACGCTGTGTGGGGTGTGAATTTTTTCTATTTGTCCATGCCATGTAATAACAACAAAAATCTCTATTATTGTTCGCTTCTTATTTCTTATACCAAACGGTACATATTTACGAAACAAAAGTTTTATGTGTAGTATTGATTCGACATTCTCTTTTGATATATTATTAACATGCTGATTTTTTCCAGTGTATACTCAAGAAAAAAAATTACGATACTTCATCATGATAAAAAAAAAGAAATGATGTGTTCTTTTGCTTTTTGATCGGATATTTTCATATGGGAAAAATTAGATGAATGAAAAATTTTTGAGATTGAATAAAAAACGAATTCATGCCAAAATTATTCTGGTAGCTTATGTTTTCTTTTGTAGTTATGATTTCATCTGAAATAAATTTCATTGATGAATTATCTTATCGTCAAATTCAATGTGAATTAAAAAAACGTCGTTTAAGTTCAACTGGCAAGAAAATTATCATTGTAAAACGATTGAAAGTTGCATATGAGAATGAAATAATAAAAAGTATGCCAATTAATAATATTTTTTTTATTATTGAGATGTACTTATTTTGTATTGAGTAATTAGATCAATTATCAAATGTAACAAAATTTCATGATCTTCCAAATGAAATCTATCGAGAAATATTCGATTATTTATGTTCGTTCGATATTATGCATTCATTCCATGGGCTTAATCATCGTTTAAGTGAAGTCATTCGAGACATTCCAATGAAATTAAATTTTAATGATTTATCTCAAATTGAGTATAAACGTGTATTAAAACATGTTGTACCGAAAATAATTGATCAATCGGTGTCTATAGAAATAGGACAATCCTATAAAATGAATCGTTGCTTTTCTTCTTTGTATAGTTCAGAATCTCTTATTGATTCGTTTATTCAATCATTAGATTTTAATCAATTCGTTAATCTTCAATTTCTTTCACTCACTTCACCTAGTCAAAGTCAATTAAAATTATTGTCTTCAGTTATACCAAATATGCTATCGCTTCGTTCATTACGACTTCTAGAACAAAATGATTTAAGTAAATTAAATGAAACAATTTGTAAACTTGTACTTGCAAATAATTCTTATTGTTCGCACGATAAACGTTGCCATCGTAAACATCTTTTCATCGAAACAAATCTTCCATTTAAAACTCTTACTCTTCTTCATAAATATTTTATTAACAAAATTTCATTTGACTGCATACAAATAGATATTCGTTGTGCATTGTTTTATCATCCTCGTGCATTAACACATATTGATTGTAATGGCCTATCTAATCTTATATCAAATATGACTTATTTTAAAATCGATATGAAATATGGAACATTTCAAACAACGTTCGATTTCATTCAACGTTTTTCAACGATACATCATCTATCTGTTAAAACTGTTTTAGAAGCATATGCGAATGGACATCAGTGGGCTGAGTTACTTGCTCAAATGCCAAATCTAATCAAACTTGATCTTGATATTCATTTTGATTCGTATAAATCTGATCAAGAATTACAAACGTTTCAAACAAAGTTTTGGTCGGAACGTCAATGGATTGTTCAATTTGTTGAAAGTCACCATTTTAGTTCTTCCAACTGTAAAATTATACATCACAGTATTTAAATTCGATGATATATTATATACAGTACTTTTATTTTTGTTATATAAAAATAAAACAATAGAATCATTCAGATACCTAAAGAATTGTATTTATTAGCTGTTGTAGATAAATTATTTTTTCTTAAAAATAAAATGGCATCATCAACAAGTGCAGATCCAACAGTCATAGCTAAAGAAATCAAAGCACAATTAAAACAAGCTCGAGAAGTTTTCAATCAAAAAGATTATAGTGCAGCTCTGAAATTATGCGAAGTAAGATTTTTAAATTTCATAACACTGTATATAAACACTTGAATACACTATAGGCAATTGTTAAAAAAGATAAAACTTGCTATACAGGTTGGATTATGATTGCTGCTTGTGCACAAGAATTAAAACAATTTCATCAAGCTGAATCTGCTTTGCATAAAGCAATTGAACTCGATGAAAATCAATCGGTTGTTTATCAAGTAGAGTTGATTGTGAAGATTGCGACTATGCATTGATATTTTCTTCGATAGGGTATTGTACAATTAAGTGAACGTGCACCAGGCTTTCTAAATGAAAGTGATATTACAAGTGCATTTCGAAAATTATGTTCACTAACTCGTCCAACGTATGTTAAAAATCGAATGTGTAATGTTCAACATAATTTACATAACTATTAATCAATAGGGATCCAACAAAATTCTTTGATCATGCAAAAAAATATATTGAATATTTAAAGAAAAAAATCGAAGTTCAACCTGTAACTACAAATGAACAAACTAATCCATATCGAATACAATTAGCTGAACTTTGTAAGGAAATCGTTGAAGAAAAACGTCTCCAATTAAATCAAGACGACGAACGACACTATCGATTATTGTCTACGGAAATACTTGCAACAATGAAAACAATTTCAACGATTCTAAATGAATTTGTTAGTTGTAAAATAAAAACAAGTTGTTGTCTGTTTATAAATAGTTTATTAATTTCAGTTAAGTAGTAACTATTTTTGGCTTTCACAAAGTAGTTCAGATAATATTCTACGTTTAAATTATTATGAAAAATATATTCAATCAATTTGTCAAGTAAGAAAATCTTGGAAATGAAATTTAATTTTATTCACAAAAAAAGAATTTACAATTTCTTTAGATGGGCCGCTCTAGTGCTGATATAGTTGATTATTGTAATGAATGTCTAGCACTATTTCCGAATTCAAGAATAGCTCAAAATACTATAATAATTATTAATCTTGAAACATTATTACCGCAAATATGTAAAATTGTCAAGCAGCTTTTATTCTTTCTAAATATTTGATTTTATGCTTTAGACGATTCATTGGCACCTATAGCAAAATTAACTGATGCATTAAATCGTATTCGTTCAGATGAAAATAGTCAAATATCAATACCAGCTATTTGTGGTAAAGCTTATTTTTCTATTCGAAATGGGAAATATTCAACTGCACTCGAATCATTGCTTAATCTCAATGAAGAAGATGGTTATCATCTTGTTATTATTTTCAAAATGGTTTGTTATGCTCATTTACATATTATTAAAGAGACAATAGATATGGTCAGTATCGGTAAGTTCACTAGAAAAGAAACGGCCTAGATATGGATGATAATAATAAGCTTTATTGTTTTAGCACGTACAAAATTGACAAATTTTATTGTGAAAGATGTTGTATCATCGATTGAATCATTAATAGATCTTTGTTTAGCTCTGATTACATATGATCAGGGTCTTTATGAAAAATCTATTCAATTATTTGAGAAAGTATTGTATTTTAAAAATATGAAAATTTATGCGATGATCTTTGTCTATATTAGCTTCATCATGTAACCAATAAGTTTCATAATCGAGCCGTTTATGGTCAATTCAATGCTTATATCAAGCTAAATAAACCCATCGAGGGTCGTACATGCTACGATACAATAAAAGATAATTTGGAATCAAATCAAGAATTATCCTGTCGTCTTCAATTAGCTCAACTTGAAGAATATCCTAGTGAACTTCTTAAAATGTATGTTATACTTCAAAAAGAAAATCATCCTAAAATTTGACTTTTTTGTTTCTGAAATCTTTCAGAGTGCAAGCTGCACTGAAGGAAGCTAATGAAAATGAAGAATTATTTGAATTAACTGTTCAAGGATGGTTATCAGTTGGACAAGCTTATCTATCTATTCAACGTTCGAATGATATGTTTGATAAAGATCAATGTAAATATGCATTTGATAAGGTTAGTCGTAAACGAGAGAGAAAACATTCTTCCTTTCAGTATAATTTGTTTAAATTCAATTTAGGCCATTGAACTGGATGAATATTTTTGGGAAAGTTATGCATGTTTAAGTAGATATTATAATGAAATAGAACAAAGCTTACCGGAAGCATTAGCCTATTCAAAGCGTGCTTTTGAATTAAATGAAAATATTGAAAGTGTACAAATAACTTATGTTGATAATCTTCTGCAGGCTGAACAAATCGTAAATTCAGTATTTTCGTTTTCATGGCTTTATTTTTTGTTTTTATTTAGTATGACGCAATAGAAATCCTTGAACGTATACTTGCTATGAATAATATGAAAACATGGGCACATTTTCGATATGGACTTGTTTCTCTTCGAATAAATAATGTTTATAATGCTGTAAAAGCATTACAAATTGTTTCTCGGCGGCCGCCTGTTTCTGGGTAAGAATCTGCTGTAGGAATTCTCAGGCAGAGCGGAATTATTAAATTCAGCAACTTATGAAGATTTCGTTTCTCACAGAACAAAAGATTCTTCGCTTTGTCAAGAAATCTTTCTTGTCTCTTTATTTCAGAGCTACTTGGTCAGCATTAGGTGATGCACACTTACATACAAACAATTTAAAAACAGCATTGAGTTGTTATCATAAAGCAACATCATTAGAACGTGAAACACTTTATTCGTTAACGAGACAAGCATTTACTATGACATTACTCGGTCGTTTCATTGAAGCTATTTCATTGTTTGATAAAGTTATCGATCAATCACCGAAATATCTTCTAGCTCGAAAAGGTTCTATATTTGTATTCGTGGGTTTTCTAGTTTATCTATTTTGTTTTCTTAGGGAAAGGTGAAGCTCATCTTTATCTTGCTATTCAACAAGTAGGACTTTATAAAGATCAATCAGCGGTTATTCAAGTTCAACAATCACTTACAGTAAGTTCTAAAATTAAATTCCTTATGGTTAATAAATATCTCTAAATAAAAGGCATTTCATGATGCTGTATGTTTGCAATCTAATTATGCTTGTTTATGGAAAAAATATGGTGATGCATGTATGCTTCTTCATCCAGTTAATGATGATTTAATTTATATACGTTTACCATCCTTAACAAAAAAATTCGATGAAAATAAAATCAAAGATCCTGATGGTTGTATTGTTTTAAGAAAAATCGATCTTCTTCAACGTGCACAAAAGTATTCATAGATTTTTCTCTTCCGTTATATATTCTTTTCTACGATAGATGTTACATGCAAGCAATTCGTCTTAAATCACGTTCGGCAGTCTATTGGTCATGTCTTGCTCAATGTGTTTATATTCAAGCTCGTCATAATTCAGATGAGCAACGCATGCTTATGTTAGCATTGGAATACATGAAAGTAGCAATTTCATTAAAACCTAATGATCATTTAATTTGGAATGCACTTGGTGTTATTGCAGCACATCCAGGTAGATGAGAAGATTCTTTCGGCGGAATTTCTTGCTTAATTTTCATAAACAGACGACAGTGTAATACATTGTTTTCTAAATCTTAATCAGTAGAGTCATTTCTTCAGTTTTTTTGTTATAGTTAGATCAAAGAATTACGAAATTCATAATGTCTCGATTATTTGAGAATGTATCAAAACATTTGTTCCGATAGTTCTCAAATCAAAATAGGAATAAAGAATAATTTAAATGTATACTTATTTGTTTTAGCGATGAATGAGTCTGGTTTAGCCCAACATTGCTTTTTTAAATCACTTCAATTACAACGATCGGCTGTCGTCTATACAAATCTTGGTTTTCTTTATTATCGTCATGAAAATATAGACTTAGCAAATAAAGCATTTTCTAAAGCTCAACAAACTGATCCAACACATTCATTAGCTTGGATTGGACAAGTATGAATCTTTATTTTTCTCAGAATTTATTCTGATTTAATTAAATGATTCTATTCGTAGGCACTTATTGCTGAAAAAATTGATTATAATGAATCGATTGATCTCTATCGTCATTGTGTTGATCTTTCGAATCATGTAAAGAATAAACTAATAATAAGTTTTTAAGAGAGGAAAAAAATGTCTTCTCTTTTCTCTTTAGTCTCAAGGTTTATATGGTTATGGAAAAGCAATTGCACATCTTCTTATCAAACCAAATAGCAAGTCAACTGATATTTATCGATATTCAGTTGACTATTTGAACGGTAATCAACGGGCAGCAGACGCATTAACAAAATATATTCGTAAGTGCTTTCTTTTTGTTTTTTTTATTAGTTTAAATTATTTTAATTCAAAATTATTTATAGAACGAAATCCAGCAGATATAAATGCCTTACAGTGTTTGGCTATTCTACATGAATTCAACCAACGGTTTACTCAAGCAGCCAATGCTTATAAACTGTAATTAAATCATCATTTAGTTTCAAATTGAAATTTTCATTTTTCATTTAGTGCTTTGAGCCATATGAATCAACAAAATGAATCATCAAATGTGATACGAAATGATTACGCACGTGTAAAATGGTATGAAGTAAAGGCGAAATATATAAATCATTATGTTTTATTGTTGTAGTCGAAGTGGTGATACCCAATTGGATGCGTTCGTTGTAACAGATAATAAACTAACATTGCTGAATGTTCTTTGGTTAGCAGTAGCTTATGGAAAAATGAATAAGCAAACAGAGGCTATTGAAAGTTTGTTTTCATTAATTGAAAAATGGTTTTGGAATTGTTTTTCTTTTGAAATTTAGTTTTAAAAAGTGTTATTGATGATTCTGCAACTTCAAATAAAGATCGTTCAGTTCTATTAACTTTTCTTGGACTTCATCAACGTAAAATCGACCCACAGGCAGCGGTTAAAACTCTTTTCAAAAGGTTTTTGCTTTGTTTTATTCTTACATTAATAATAACACAATAGTCTATTTTAGTTACTCAACTAAACCTGTGTGTTCAAGTGCAGTAACTGCACTTTGTGCAATGGGTATGATCATAGCGGATAATCGAATATCAGCAGCAGCTCTAAAAGAAATGTCCAAACCGACAGATTCAAATTATACAATGGATATACACTTATTAACATGCTTATCAATGTTGTTGTCTGTAAGTTGATTGTAATATTTAGGAACTCAATGTGTTTCTGTATGTATTTTCATAATTTAGAATAAAACTCGTGAAGTTTATAGTTATACAATGAATGTTGTTTGTTACTATCCATGGTTAACATGGACATGGATATTAGCTTTAATTGCTCGTATTCAAACAGGAAATCCAAAAGGTGTATTACAAATGATTGAAGGAATTTGTTACTCGAATTTTTCGGCCGTTGATGAGGTTTGACGAAGATGTTTTTATTAATAATTGTTGTTTATTTTCTTTCTATTGTTTTACAGAAAATGGCAATATTTGTTGCTAAAGCATTACATCATATATCAGTAGAACGTAATGAACATATTTTACATCTATTTCAAATGTTAATCATGCGTCGGCCAGGTACTTTTTTTCTAGATTTGAGCTATGATTTATCAGCACTATTTTTAAAGAGTGTGTATTAGTTTAAAAACCCTTGTCGTTCGTTACTGATCTCAAGCGATAATCATAACTCTATTGAAAGTCATCGTTGGAATTTCTATATGCGTAGTTATTCATAGGACAAATCTGATTCCAAACAGACTTTGCTTTTTTTCCTACAATCATTTGTTTTTCTTTACGTTTAGCTCTACTTGATTTACGAATCTCATTGGCACAATATATTCAAAATTTCGATTCATCGTTTGGTCAATCTTTACTTCCTTAAACTATCTCTGTGATTGTTACTTTTTTTCATTTCTATGTAAATAAACATCTTTTTTAGCGATGAAAACTACAAACATATAAATGTGTATAGATGGAATGACCAACTGTTTCTTTAAATCAAATAAACACTTATCACGAAACTCAACATACAACATAAACATAAGCGAACAGAAGAAAAAAATACATAGATAAATTAAAAAAGATAGTTGAAGTACACATAGAATTTTGTAGGTTTGATAGATAAATAATAAGGAAGGATAAGACAAGAAAACAAAAGAATTAAAATGCAATTGAATGAAGAAGAGACAGTTCGATAGTTTAATCAGCCTTTAATCTTGGTGTTGTCATACGATAGATAATTGTATCCGCTCCTGGATCTAATGTTAAAAATACATAGGCTATACTAATAACAATTAATGCTAAAACCAATGAGGTCCAAAAGAATAAATTGAACATAACTGGATATTCATCGGAATACATTGTTGCAATTGTTACATTTTTACTCTAAATATGTTATAGAATATTTTCATAGATGCAGTAGAATACTAAAATTTCAAGGGCTTACAACTTGCGTAGTTTGTCGTGCTCGACGAACACGTGCAATCTCTTTTGTTGCTAATGTCATTGCTAATGTTTGTGGATTTTTTGCAATAATCTATTTAGAATTTCAAATCAAATATATTCTGGTTTGATATTAAATGCTCTTACTTGATCAATGGTAGTCTTCAATTGATTTTGTAATTGTTCCGATGATTTATCATCTTTACAATCTTCACAAACAATTACAATGTATTTAATTGAAGCCTGATGAAAAATAAAAATTAGTTTTAATTGAATTTCTAGAATTTCCTTTACCTGATCATTCATTTGTGATATTTGAGTTTTAAGTGTTTGTTCAAGATTATCCATATCCGATTTTGAATTCTAAACATAATAATTGTACAAGGTAAGTGACAGAAAATTCAAGTAGCTATGTTCTATTCCAATAAAATGAACTGAATTTCTCATCAGATCAATCATCGGGATGTGTTTTTATATTTCCTATTTGGGCATGTAGGTCATTCCTACGTCAACCTATTAGATATCGATTTGGATTCTATTATTATACTTTTGAAGTTTGTAAAATGAGTTGCTCTTATAAACGCATTTTTCAATGTCACTTATCAATCTATTTCAGTCATCGTATATGAATGATCATTGACATCGCTTGCTATAAAAAATCCCAATATTATCTTAAGATATACTTACAATTAAAATTGATCCAATATTCAAAGTATCTTGATTACCAATTCGGCTTAATTTTGAATGAATTGAATTGATGTCGAATTCATCGTCCTAGAAAATCTCTTATTAAAGAAAGAAATTATTTTGTAAATGACTTACGTCTTCTAATGCAGTACCATTATTAAATAAATTATCGAAACCTTCAACATGAAATAGCCAAGTAGATGATGGAATTTCAAGTGGACGACTTGAATAGAAAAATGGTTGTTCTTGTTGATCTGTCTATTTAATATAATACAATAAAGATAAAATACAAAACTTAACAATGAACAAAAAAAAACATTTATATACCTGATCTGGTGATAGACCTAATAGTGTTGCTAAATTATTAGCAAAATTTGATATTGTTATTCGATTTACATTTTCATTATCTTTAGTCGAAGCCAGTGAAAGATAATTTGGTTGATTATGCACTTGACATTGACCAGCTTCAATAGAATCTAAATAGAATATCACTATGATTAAAAAAAGAAAAGGATTTATTAGAGCAGATTCACTTACAGATCAACGATGAAATGAGAATGAATGTCAGAAAAAAATGCATTTCTAAAACTGAAATAAAATGCTGATGTTTACTCAAGCGAAACACCAAGTATACCGATATGACTATGCAGACACCTCTGATACGAAAAATAGAATAAAAGAAAACAGATCTGTTGATAAAAAATTTTGTCTCACTTCTCATTCTCATTCTCATTTATTTTTCAGTTTTATTTTTGACAAATAACAACAAAGGTTCGATAGAGGTCGTATGCATGCGAATCAACATGATTCTCTCAAAATACATATATTTATATTTATATAGAAACAATTTATTTTCTCTCAGTCTGTTCTCGCAAATTGAATTGTCTAGGACTTCGCACTTGTATAATCTCCATTGCTAGGATATTCATTTCATTGGAATGCACTGGAATGCGGCATAGTCGTTTAAATAAGAGCAGTGCTTGATGTCGAAATATACTTGATGAATAATAATATAAATAAAAATTCAATGCTAAAGTTGCATAAGATGGTATTCGTAGAATATCAAATAGAAATCCAAGTTCATCATAATGTTCACTTTTACCATAGGTTTGTGATATGTATGGATAGATAATGATCGTTATTGATACTGGAAAATTACATGTAATCAATGATAATGAGCTTATTAGGAGAAATTTTGTTAGCGAACGATCAAGATTCCGATGGCCAAATTTTAAACGTCTTTTATGTTGATCATTTATAATAAAAATGTTACAGGATGTAACAATAATAAATGGTAATAAGACAAACGTAGTTAAATCAATCCATGGCCAAATGTTTTCAAAAAAATAAACATAACTCGGATAAGCTGGATTTGGATCACAGTTATCAGCAGCGTCAAGCGTAAAATCTCCAATGAATTTTGATGCAAGATGAATATTTTTTAAAATAAGAATAATCGTTATAAAACCTGCAACTTTTATGTTTAATTTATTTGTACAATGAATTCGTGATTTAAAAGGAAATTTTACTTTAAGAAATCGATCGACAGATATAGCTACGATCATCCATGAAACCATATCTGTCGATGTATATACAAGAAAATTACGAGTACGACAATAAATAGCGTAAGGTATCGAAATATTATAGCCAATAGTTAAACAATGATGAAGACCACCAATTAATGCAATGGAATCCGATATAGCAAGTAAAAGAAAATAAATACCACATGAATTTTGACTTAATTCAGTAATAGAAAAAACTAATGACGAAAGTAAATTACCAATGAGACCAATGATAAATATAATAGGATAAATAATCATGTAGATATAACGAATCAATTCTTCGAAATCGTTATTAACCGAAAGTGTGAACGTACAATTTAAATATGAATTCTTAATACATGTTTCATTCATTGTTTTTGTTTTCTAGGCTAAATATTTAAAGATAAATATTTTCGAAAAGGAAACAATAATATAAAGCTAAAATGAAAAACGTGTGAATAACGACAAATGTTATATGACATAATCGTAAATCATAGAAATAAATATTGATTTCATTTAAAATATTTATTTGTGATAAAATGTTTCGTTTGTGATGTGATATTGATTAATAAGAAATGTAACCATAGGAGGCGTTGTTCGCCTGATAAGCATTTTTAACTCGAGATCAAATGTATTGTATAGTTAAAAAAGAAGTTAAATATTAAGAAAAGTCTGTGATTTCACTATACTGCACTGTCAGGCAATTGTTTTTGAATCAATAGCATGATTTTTCTTAGAGAAGTCGTGTATAGAGACATATTTCAAAAACAAAACTGTTGCTGTTTGAATCTATCGTACTTGCCGAACAGCAGGCAGCACGATAGGAAATACTTGCAAAATAAAAATTATTCTGATTAATATTTGTCTGTGGAAAGTTTTAAATTAAAAATGAAACTGCAACATTCACTTTAAACATACCTTCGTTGAAAGTTTTGCCAAGCATTCGAGTTTTAAGAATACATATCATCGGTAAAATGAATTTTTCAATGTATTACGTTTTTTAGATTGATTATTTTCTTCTTTCACTGAATTATTTCTATATGAATGTTTTCTTTTTTCATATCATCTATTGACTTCAGTTCTAATGATTGATAAAATATATAATTTATGATCAGGGTTGCCACCTCTTCCGCTTTTTGCGGAAAGTTTCCGCTATTTTCCCGCTGTTTCACTTTTTCGTATGAAATGTGTTGCATATCAAATCTACGTACAGAATAATATTTGATATTATTGAACCAATTCTTATTGTTCACAAATACCGTGAGCCATCATTCTTTTATGTTTTGAAGCTTTGATGAAATAAAAAGAAATCCAATAAATATGAAAAAAAAATGCCTAATATTCTCAGAAGCACCACAAATCTGCAACAATATAAGCTTCCGCTTTTTTCCCGCTTTTTATGTTTTTCTTTCCGCTATTTTCCGCGCTTTGGATTTCATCAGATGGCAACCCTGTTTATGATCTTTAAGATTTATTCTATACTAAATATTCATAATTTAAAAGCGTTCCAATTATTGAAATCATCGGAAGACATCATTTTATTCTTGCTTTTTTTTACGCGCATCTGTATATTTAACATTTCCTTTGTAAAAAAAAATTATTTTATTCAATATTATTCTGTTGAAGACATGACACGACTAAAAAACATTTGTACAATGACAACTTATTTTATTCATAGCTATATAGCCCGAAGTAAAAACACGAAAAAACATAATAGAGAATATTTTTTGTTTGTCACATTAAAGTTTCGCTTTCCTCGATACCCTTTGATACCGGTGACGACGTAAAAAGTAGTTTTTTTCTTTCTAGAAATTGTTGGCACAATAATTTGTCAACATTTCTGAATTGAAAATAAACATACTACTTGACATTTTTCTTTTTTTGAAAATCTAACATACACACATACAGAAAACACAATACAATCATGGTGATAAGTTCAACTTTAACAACGCAACTCGAAAATATCCATGCACCAGTACCATTAAGTCGAACTCGACCAAGATCAGTACCTGTTTACGCGACAGGATCGCCTGCACTGAGCACGCCCAGTCCAACTCGTTCACATCATCGTCGACGTCACAAACAAAAAATATCCATTGATGATAAGCCACCATTTATTAATTATGCCTCATCGTATATTAATCCATATCTTTCTCTACAACCTGTTCAAGTTTATCATCAGTCTCGTCGTCATGTTCGTTCGAGTAGTAGCAGTTCAAAACGAAAATCTAAGAAACAAAAATCACCAGATGATTTACTTGAAACAAATGAAGCTAATGAAATTCACGAGAGAATCATGTCAACACAGTTAGCACGAAATCATCGTCCTATTGACATAAGACCTTTAGATGCAAGTGCGTTCGATAAAAGTTTTTGCCAAAAACGTCAAATGATAATTGACAATCCATTCTATCGTGAAAAAGTTGACTCATGGAAAGTTTCATCTGTTAATAATCTTATTACGTTAATTAAAGAATTAACATTAGACAAAAATATTATTGATCGTATTTGGATTATTTATTATTGGATTTCACAAAATATTCAATATGATATTGACGCAGATTTTAGTAGTCGTCATCGACATCAAAAAGCTGAAGATGTTTTTCGCAGTGGTAAAAGTACATGTGAAGGTTATGCATCTCTTTTTAAAACACTATGCGATGATCTTAATATTCATTGTGAAAAAATTCGTGGTTATGCAAAAGATTATTTTTTCAAAATAGATAAACCAGCATTTTCTCAATTCAATCATACATGGAATGCTGTACAATTGAATAATCATCATTGGTATTTAATTGACACAGCATGGGGCGCCGGATTTATTGATAATCAGCATAAATATAAACAAGATCTTAAACCTCATTATTTTTTAACACATCCCGAACATATGATCTATAATCATTTACCTGAAGACGTCCGATGGCAACTGCTTTCGAAGCCAATTACAATGGAGGACTATCTTCAACTTCCACATATACATTCATATTATTTTATACATGGTCTTCATATAATTTCTCCTAGATTTTCGAGTATAGTGACATTTAATGCGAGTCAATCGTTTGCTGAAGTTTTAATTCAAACACCCGATGATATTCAATTGACATGTTCGATTAAAGATGATACTCGAAGTACGAGTCTTACTCAATATGATTCTACTCGTCAAGTATGGCAATGTTTATTTTCCCCATATAAAAGCGGTTTTCATACCTTGATTATTTTCGCTAAACAATTCTCGGAAATAAATTTATTTAAAAATGTTATTGAGTTAGGTGTGACTGTACATTCAAGGGATTTTATCAAAGGAAAAACATTACCAATGACTTTTGGAAAGTTTAGCGAATATAAATGTCAAATTATCTCACCATTGGATGGTGCTCTTAAACGTGGCACGAAAGTAACTATTCGTTGTCGTATTCCACATGCATTAAGTGCACGAATTTCACTCGATGGTGTTTGGCTGGATGAAGTTACATTAGTTAATGAAGTATTTAAACAACAAATTAATGTACCAGAACAAGAAGTGATTATTTACGCAAAATTTATGAATAAAAAAATGAACAAACACTATCATGGACTTATTAGATACACAGTAGAAAAATAAGACAACAAAAAAAATGTTGACATTTGTGAAAAAAATATAATTTGTATAATATGTGTGTTGGCTTTTTTTTTCTTCTACTCCTAAGGTACTGGAGTGAATTGAATGGAATTAATTAGTATGAGAATTTAATACTGTTTCTAAATATATATTTTTGAATTTTATTTTGCTGCAAATTTAATTGATTGAAAATAGCAATCTGTTGGTAAACTCGATTCATTCGTGCACTGATCAAAGCTGGTGTCTATAGAATAGAAAATTGAAGGTGGTATATGCGTTCTTAGGTCATGTTAACCTAAAGTTGACGTTGGTATTTTTTATTCCAAAGAGAGAAGGCGTACTCCCCAAGACGTCATCATAATGTTTTTAAATTAGTTTTCACACGTTATCGTTTTATTCCTAGTATAGAGACGATCACAATTTGATAAATATGATGGAAATGGATAGAACAAGATCATGACAATCTGTTTTTGCTCAATAATTTTTCATTTGTGAATCTAAATACTTATCACTAATATAGATTGTATGATTAGCTACGATAGAATCTATTACATGATGAATAATAGCCCGGATGCCATCAGAAAAGTTGGCGTATATTGTTTTGCTTTCGATCTCATTAGCAATAAATATCGTTTGAACGACTAAATACTTTTGACAATGATTTTCATTTAATACTTCGATAGTAGATCTAAGTCGGGTAAGCCGCTAATGGTATCAGATCAAATCTATTCATCACTTATCAATTTCTTTGAATTTCTGAAGACTAAAAAATCTAGCAGACATTCATCAATAGCGGAAGAGGTCAATTCGATATCTATATTGTTTACGTCGAAAGGATATTTCAAGAGTGAGCTATAAGAATCAGCTACTTTTAAATCATCCTGTATTTCAATAAATTGAAATATATTTTTTGCGTACATCACGAGTGATGATAATCTAGTAGTCAAAAGAATTCAAAATATTTTTTTTGCAAATATTTTTCAAGAACATCATTCGTTGTTATATGTGAAAAATCAAGCTAATACCATATTTGATAGAGTCTATTTGATTCTAGAAAATGGCGTATTCAAAGATTTGCTCACAGTTTTTATCACAATGTATAACTACTTCACACAAAAAACAAATGTTGTAAACACATCGTTATGCCAAACACTATTAAGTTTTTGTTCTCAATTCGTCTACTTTGGCATACATAAGTAATAAAACAATATCCGATTTCTGATTGCATGAGAAAACTTATTATTCTTTGAAAATTGTTAAGTGCTATCCTAATGAGTGCAAATTTACATTATAATAATTCATCGAATTGTAAAATAAAAGAAGTTTAGTATTGTTGCTTTCCTATAAAGGAGATAGTAGAATTGTTTTTACGAATTGTAGCTGTAAGGACTATCTGTGTGTTTATTGAGGCATTATGATAGATGAGTCTTCAAAGAGTTGAGCTTAAAATGAGAAACAAAACATTATACCAAAATAACTTTTGTTGAATAGATCTATTAAAGCCCCCGCCCCAAAATAGACGGCCACCCTATATGAGAAGACCACACCCTGTATAAGGCCATGTTCGGACAAAAATTCAAACGCCCTATTAGAAGGTTACGGCGTTCTAATACGTCTGTAATTTCTCAGATTCGAATAGGATAGCTATATATCACATCACCAACGAATGAGAAAGATAAATAATATAAGACTCTGCTCGATATGTGGAAAAAAAATTGTCTCTAAATTAGTATAAAAAAANTGAATGTGTATATGGTTAGACGAGACAAGATGACATCCTCGACTTCGTAAGAAATTCAATGTTTATATACATGATTTTCTTAATGAATTAAGCAATCTAATATTAATTTTACATCCTGTTTAATTAGTTGACAAAAGTTCAGCTATCGGAAACTCATCTATCATGTCGAACATATATTCTAATGGAGATATATTTGTAAGATAGAAGATTCTAGATTTATTTGATTGTTGTTAGAAATTCATGACTATTCATTACTAACAAGAAAAACAAAAGGTTCACTTGACTTTTCAAGAATATAAAAATATTGCTGCAAAAATAATTTTCTCTACCATCTAAATTCTTCTAGAATATGATAAACTAAATAATATAATTGTATAGCTAATCAATAGTGTAAGGACAAATAATACATTTTTTCTTGCTTCAGTATAAAATGTAATTTGGCGTATATTGTCTTTGATGTATTCTTGTCATGTTGTGAATAGGCGAAGAAATATTGCATTGAATATTTATTACAATATTTTCTAAATTTTTAGAAAAATAAAATTTGACTGTACAAGGAAAGTATTAAACGCTCATTTATTATTGATTATAAAAGTTCGAAATATAACTGCTGCCATTCAACGATGGCATTGGTGTTTGATAGTCATCAAATTCATCAATTGAATAGAGTCGATTTTCATAGCGGCCAGCGTCTGGATATGTTCGTTCTGTTAATTCAATATCATTCGTTTTTGGTTTGATACGAAATATCCGATGGAATAAAAGAATAACTTGTTGTCGAAATATATCGGATGAATAATAATATAAATAGAAATTGAATGCTAAAGATCCATAGGATGGTATACGTAAAAGATCGAAAGCAAATGCAACACTATCATATGTGTCATTTGTATTGGTTGACGATGAAATGTGCGTATAGACTCCGGCTAGGATTGTTATTGGAAGATTACAAAGAATTAAGGAAACAGAACTAACTAAAAGTAATGTTATTAATGAACGATCAAGATTACGTTTGCGAAGTTTAACACGTCGTTTATATTGATCATGAATTATAAATGCATTACATATTGTAACTATAAGAAAAGGAAATAAAGCATACGTTGTCAGATCAATCCATGGCCAAACATTATGAAAAAATGCTACATATTTTGGATAATGTGGATTTGCATCGCAATTGTCAGCAGCATTGGAACTGAAATCTCCAATAAAAACTGTTGTTAAATGAACATTCTTTACGATAAAAACGATCATTATTATCGATGAAACAATCGTCGCTAATTTTTGCGTAGCATATATTCGTGCTGTAATGGGATATTTGACTTTAAGATAACGATCAACTGATATGGCTACTATCATCCATGAAGTCATATCCATAGATACATATACAAGAAAATCTCGAGCGCGACAATAGGTAGCATTCGGTATTGCAACGCGATAGCCAATATTTAAACAATGATGAAGACCGCCGATTAATGCGATTGTATCAAATACAGCAAGTAATAGAAAATAAACACCACATGAAGTACGATGAAGTTTAGTTACAGAGAAAAGTAATGACGAAAGTAAATTACCCACGACACCAAGTAAAAACACAATCGGATAGACAATAGCATAAATATAATGGCTTATGTCTTCAAGATTTTGTTGTTTAACAACACGTTTTAGTGAATCAGAACTATTCATATGTCTTTTAATATTTTGTCGTCGATCGATATCATAGAAGGTTAAAGAGACTAGAAAGGAAGTACAGAAGAAAAATGAATGCCTGATCCAACACAATTGTTATCAGCTTTAATAGTAATTCGTAGATGAGAAAAAGCAAAGAAAACACACACATTGATGAGTCATTGTTACTCCTTTAAAAAAACATTTTTGTTCGGTTATATCTATTTTTTTGATTTCTCTTTTGTTTCGGCCTCCACTTATAAAGCATCATTATCTAAAAGAATTTCTGTTTAGTCATATTTCATATAACAAAATTGATACTTCTTTTCAAAAGAATGTTTCTCGAGAGAACTCTTAAGATCATTTTCTGTCAAAAGAGAACTCATCGAAAAGGAACAATAATTACTAAGAATAAAAATGCAGAAGTGTATCGTAAAAATAAAAACTAATATCTCATTAAATTTTGTCTGGACTCCTTTGAAAGAATCAATAATTTTCTAAGCATAAATAAAAACTCTTTCTATTATTTCATGGATCGAAAAAACAACAAGAAGAAAGAACCTACTTTGATGTTTTTATTTATATCTACCAGTGAATATCCAGCTCGTTCTTATCTTCGTAAGCTAAGTGCATAACCCTTCTTACACCATTATTTTTTTAAACATGATGTTTATTATTCAGTACTGTATTTTCTTCTTCTTCTTCTAGAACTAATGTAAGCAAAATAATAAGTAAAACAAAAAGGAACGAAATAATAAACTTCAAACGCTAGTATTCATAGATCTATAATAGAAGGAGTACCAAAATAATTGGAAATCCCATAAAAAAATATATATGCAAGCCGTTGTTTTATTTTCAAGTAATAGTATTAATGATGTGTTGATTATATGTTAATGTAGGCATAGATCTGTGATATCTCATATTATCGTTCATTATCTTTTTTGTCTATTATTATACCTATATAATATTTAACAGAAAGCAAACGCTTTACTACTCCTATAATTATAGTACACGTCATCAAATGGTCGAGATCTATCACATCGGACTTTGGTCTGTCGACTTTTTCCTTTGCAGTATTTATAAACAGGACATGATTCACGATGTAGAACATCATGGCACTCTTTTGATTCTATTTTAACGATATCTTTAATTTACGTTACGTAGTAGACCTTTTTTGTTTACTAATCAACCTATAAAAAGATCTTATGACAATTCTAAATACGTTGTAGCCCAAAGAATACTTATGACAATTTGTAAAATTCTCAGCTTAAAATCTTAACAAACATTCACGATTTAGACTATCTCTAAACTACATATTCCATATTTTGTGTCTTCGTAGTATAGTATTTCATAAAAATCTCGGAATACAACTACTAAAGCCAGTTCTATAGTAGCTATTCCTTGATGAAGACCTTCAAAATGGTAAAAGATAATTGCGACTGATACTCCTATGACGCGAATTCAAATGCCATATACGAAACGAGCATAGTAGCAACACATAATTAAAACCGAAAGGGTATGGTTTTATGCGTGAAAGATATTTCCTGAATCAAGTAATATTGCTTTCTTTTAATCATAGCCAAATACTATATATAATGTACTGTGACGAAACACAATTAATTCTCATAAAATGTTAGAGGTCTATTGTCACAATAAAACGAACACATTCAGTGACTCTACGTCTTCACATCTTTCAGGATGCAATAGATTTCTAAACATGAATACAAGACAAAATCAAAAAAATTTCCGTTTAACTACGGAAAAAGCAACGTACTCTTTGTTTTCTTATTGATATTGACCAGTGAATATCAAGTTCTTTCGTCTCTACATGAGCCAACTGTATCACTCTCATTGTATTATCATATTTTTAAACGATCTTTATTATTCAGTACTGTTTTTTTTTTCTTCTTTTAGAACTAAACTAAGCAAAAAAGAACAAAATCATGGAAAGTAATGAAAAGACTTTCAGTATAGTAATAACAATAACAACAATAGTAACACACACCCCACACAAAAGAAAACAGAAGAAAATAACAAACTTCACACATGTGTATGTATAGATGTATTTTATAATACATGTTAACTGTCGAAACAAACATACAAAAGAAAAAAAACGAAAATGTTTTGTCGAGAAATAACTAAAGTTTAGATGAATAGCAAAAAAAAAAGCTATTTATATATGTATAGTTTGTGTTCACTTTATTAGATAAAGTGAAATTGTTTTTAAATAAAAATAAGTTGTAAGAGAGAAGATGATAATTGAAATGCTTCTTGACTTTTAATCATTTGAATAAAATTAATTTCATCCATGCCTTTTATTCTATTTAAAAGATATTCAAGATGTATTGAGCAGTTTGTTTTAAATGCAGTTTGTTCAAATAGAAGATTTTCAACTTGATCTGAATTATGTATCAATAGATGTGGCATTAGAATTTTCAAGCGAATATATATAACATTTAATATAGCTTGTTTTAATGATTCACGACGTGGATCAACAAAATCCGATGAATATCTTTGATCGTATGATATCAATTGAGTTGAAGAATGAAATGATGTTGGAGATTCTGATGATGTTGAACATTGGGTGCATGCACTTGGCCAACGAAGATCTGTTGTGATGGCTTGTAAACGATATATTAAACGAGGATCAATCAAAGGCTCATTAGCAAATAATGGTATATTTATATTATATCGATTAAAATTTACTGCTTGCGCTGATTTCTGTTGTTTGTTTAAAATTTTTTGTGGTATCGAAACTTCAGTTAAATTAAGTACCGATCGAGGACTTTGATTATGAAGAATAGATGCCTTCGAAGAAGGAGAAAAAAAGAAAACTCAAATAAGAAGAAATGGTTTATAATAAAAATTACCGATAATGATGAGCATGATGATGTTGATAAACGATGAGAATCCAAAGAACAAGTATCCGCCAGAACTTAAAGAGAGTAATATATATATATATATATAATAATTCATGGCAACTTCATGTAGAATATCCTGTTGATCATTACAGCGGTTTTGCATGTGTCACATTTCGATTTCAGTGATTAATATTCATCTATAGGTATTGTATATATAATATACTATCGATCTGAAACTTATACATCTTAGCTAGCGTAAGTTCTACAAAAATGTTTCAAAAGTTTTATCTTCAAGGTAAACGATTTACATCTAAATTTTTTGAAATTAGAAGATTTAAGTTTTTCGAAACGTTAAAAAAGTACGAAATATATAAGGTCTTATCGATTACGAAAGAAACCAAAGGACTAATATTGGTAGAGTAGTTTCTTGAAAAGCTGTTTGTCACTATTAAACTGAACATCTGCAAGTTTTGATCTATGATTTTGATAACTCGAAGACTGGTAAATCTTCGATGAATCGTTTGGGTACACAGATCATTATTAGGAATTCATTGTGGCAACTTTCAAATGATTAAAAGCATAGTTCTCGATTCTTGTTTTTTAAATTATTCACTCCTTCCAAGCGCCAGTCCCTTTTGTTTAAAATCTTGTTTCATACTGAAAAACCTTACTTCGTGTAAATGATGGATTGGATAAAATAGGAGATGCAAATGTTTTAGCAGAAGAAGGAGAAGATTCGATAATTTTATTGTATGCATCATTTCTAATGAGCTTTGCTGTATCACTGTCTATTTCATCATCGTCGAAATCATCGTCATCATCTGAACATGGTACAATAATAATATAATCTTGTGGAATTGTATCCATCATATCGTTTCTAGGAGTTCGAAAATTATCGAGAGAGAAAACGACGGAATCATCATTCAGTTGCGGTAATGCTGGAGATGGTGTAGCACTTTGATTAGGTGCAATCGTTTCCATATTTCCTTCATTTTGAATGGCTTGTTTGACTTTATTCGTAACAGATACAAGATTATCACCACTAGCTTTCGATGACACTACATTGATAGCTTGCGGCTGATCTTCATGTGAAATTGCTGGCGATATTGCTTCATACGCAGATGGTAAATGTTCAGTATTTGTATGTGACATCATTTCATTCGTTGCTTGTGGTAAAGCTTCATTAGTAGTTTGTGACGCATCTTCGTGCGAAGGTACAGGTGAAACATCTTCAAATATAGGTAGTACATATTCATCATTCGTTTTCGATACTGTGTCATTAATTGGCGAAGATAGAATCAAATTATTATTCATTGTCAAAGTTCCATGTATACCAAAATCAAGATGTTGAACGGCAGCAATCATTTTTTGATCACGCTCATAAATATTTTCTTTTTCTAATGTAAACATGGGCTGTATGGTATCTGAAACAAATAAATAAATTTATAATCCATAGTAGCAATTTGTTGTTTCAGTTTTTTCACTACTCTTCTATCAGAAATCATCTGTCTGTATCATGTTTGTCATAGAAATAGATCTTCAAATTCGTCTCTTTCTTACCCGGGCGACTTTCTTGTTCGACTGGTAAATCCATGTTGTCGGCTGATGGCTCGGACGATGTCGAAGTAGATGGTGATGCTAAAAACAAAAATCGTAGTGAAATTTTCATTCAGAAATAGGATCTATCATACTTGTCGATGTCGATTCTGTGTCCATAGACAAAGGATTATGAGAAATGGAAATGGGTGGTAAATCAATATTGTATATCGATAGATCAATTTGTGGTAATGAGAGTTGACATTTGTACTCAGGAGGTAAAATCGGTCGTTTCACCTTCTTTTTGACGATAGTTTTTTGAACTATTATAAATAAATAAATAAAATAAAAGTAAAACGATTTACATATTTAATCAGCAGGCAAATTGTTTTTAACAAACCTGCTGGTTTTTCACTAGATGTTGACGAATTCGAGGATGATCCTATATCGATTTTATCTTTATTCAACGATGCAATGGAACTATTTGGCGGTACTCGTATGAAGTTCGGTTTATTATCAGGTTTTTCTTTGGCAAGTTCTGACGAATGAGATATTTGTTTTTTTGGTATTGAATTATTTAAACGTTTCAGTGGTTTATGATGTTCATGTGGTTTACTAATATTAACCGGTTTTGTTTTATTAGTCACTAAATTTGACGATGTGGAAGACTCGTTTGGTTTTTGATTTTTTGCTTGTGGCATATTAGCTAGATTACTTATTTCATATGAAAATAAATCAACTCTATCCAATTTAAGTAAACATCGAAATTTCGATTCAAGCGATGGAAGAGAAATAGCTGGAGTAGCAGAAACAGTTTGTTTTGATGATTTTTCTTGACCAGAAAGTTTGATTTTTAACGGAGGCACACGTAAACTTGGTTGTGGTATAGATGATGGTCGAGCATTGCCAGTATCTGTAAATAGAGATAAACACAAATTGTACTTTTTCATTTTCCATCTCAGTGATAACAGCAAGCAAGAACTTGAAAATGTATTAGTGATAATGAAAGACTTCTCTATCGCGATTAACACTTTAAACATACATAAGTACATGTAGATGATCTTGAATACTATCTTTCATAAGATTTCCGACAGATAAATTATTGTACAAGTAATAGGAGAGAAGTGTGTCATCTCTCTTTCGATTGTTTCTAGTGTTGAGAATAAGAGCTACGATAGGTATGTAAAATGAATAAATACCCGTAGTCTTTTTTGATAGATCAGCAAGCGGCTGTCGTCTTTGAATTTTCTCCCAAGGTGTTTCTTGTTCAGCTTCAGCATCTTCTTTTCTTTCTTGTTCTTCACGTAGACGTGTTAATTCAGAATTCGTAGTTGTTACAAGATATGTTCTATACATGAATTCACATTGAATAGTAGAATACAATAGCTTTTGTTAGCTTTTCATACTTATCAAATGTTTTATGTTCGTCTAATTTGAGAAAATTTCGAATTGATAAACATAGATCACAGCCATCTTGCTTTGCGAAAGATACTATTGCAAACGGTAATAATTGTCGTGGAAAACCATTATTTTGAGTTAGTTCAAAGTCGAATACTGTTTTCTAAATTAAAAAAATTATAGGAAAAAATCTTCTAATCTGTGACAACTCTGGTTGAACGTGTATGCATCATTATATACTGTCACTGTTGTGTGGAATGATTGTTTCTGTTTGCTGTTCTAACTTATCATATCATTTGTTGTTAGCTAACATGTTACTCTCTCTTCTTATATATTAACCTAGTGTTAATTACCGTATCGTGCGTCTATCACTCATCATACTCAATGTAATCGTATGCACTATACAAGCATATATCACTAATGAGTTTATCTTATATTTTCTACGGTTTACAGGATTTACTGTCCGCGGATTTACTGTCCGTTGATTGTTTTTCTTAGAAAATTGTTTTTTCTCTACAAAAAGTATAATTTTTGCTGCTGAGGATTTACTGTCCATTGATTGAATAACTTTTCTTTTCCGATTAGCGCTTTTCTCGTTTGAGGATTTACTGTCCATTGATTGCCTCGGAGAATAGACATGAACAGAAAAATATTTATCGCAATCAACTATGTATGTTTAGAAGAAGAAAAAAGAATTCAAACAAATATATGAGGAAATAACAAAGAGAATAAGGAATTGATTAATAAATAAACCAAAAAAGATGAATGGATGTTCAACTTTTTGGTGGACGCTGAAAATATCTAAGTCCAGCAGCTTTTAAGAATGATGGAATATCGATAATCGAGGTAGCATAATTGCCGTTTACCATGGGTAGGATTCAGTAAATATAGCAGACATTTTTAGCAAGAGTATGATAAGAAAATTATGTTCTTTGAATTTATATATATTTTTTATAATTGATTGTCACATTAATGACTATCTTACCCCTCAATTTGATGAGCATCCGTCATTTTAAATTGAAAATGTATTCAATAGTTCGCTCATTGGCGACTTTTTTGTTTTTCAACATTTATGTAATTTTTTCCTCAGAAAAGGGATTGGCTGTCAAGACCATTACTCATTTATTAATTTCTCTTCTTCGAAGCAATTAATGGACAGTAAATCCTCGTATAAAAATAGCGTTAATTGGAATAAAATTTTTCCAATCAATGGACAGTAAATCCGTGGACAGTAAATCGTGTACACGATTTTCTACTGTTCTTGCTCATACTCAACGGTTGTTCTTTTTCCTTTCTCTGTATATAATATTTACTCTCCTTCTCTCGTTCCATGATCGCTATATAAAGAGTGGACGAGAGAGAAGAGATCATTCTTTTGGATAATAAACTCAAGAATCGTTACATAATCTACTATTAATCAATTCTACTTACGATAATTTTGTCGCCGACTGATGATAATTTTGGTCCATTGACAAGTTCACGTGTTGCAATACGTTCATAGGACAATAACTACGAATATATAAAGTTAACTTTTTAAAAACTAAGAGAAAACTTCATTACTTTGTATTGTATAAAATGAACAGTCTTTGTGGTTGGAGCTTCCAAAAATAATAATTCATCGATTGATCGACAGACAATAATGCCTGTTAAACGTTTTTTTGGATTTGTTGGGATAACAATTTTTCGTCCTGGTGTTGTCAATTTACCGGACACAGTTTTTATCAGTTTTGAATGATATATTTGTGTAGAAATAACTGAGGGAACACACTAATAAAAACAAACAATTGTATAGATGAACAAGAACTGGATGAAAAATATAGAAAACAAGCTGCAGTTCAAAATCTTTCTATAGGTCATATAATTTTACTTTCTCAAACAAAAATTAGATATAGTTTTGTTTGTTTTTCACTAACACATTCATAATGTCATCTATTTCAGTCTGATTTACCTGCATTTTTTGAAGTTTTTGTAAATATTTTTTATTTCGATTTGCATCACAAATGAGAGACATTCCGATAAGTTTCCATGGTAAAGAATCTGTACATCGATTATTAAATGTATATTCAACATTATGAACAATGGTATCAAATATGACGCCTTTCGATAAACTTAATATGCTCGCTAAAAGTTCATATCAAACTTAAGAAATGAAATAATTTAAAAATCATTTTTTACCAGGATCGACCTCCAATGGTATCAACGCCGATGTGGCTAGCTTTCGCTCATCACCGGCCATCATTTTGATCTGACCTAAAACAAAAAGAAAAAAACAACCATATGAATTAATCTCGTTTAAATTCACCTTGCAATTTAGAGTACCCTATGAAAAAGCGATAGATATTCTAGGTGTGAACTATGGAAAAACAATTGCCAATAAGGATCAGCATTAGATGTATATTAAAAGCGCGACGAAAAACTTAGCGCCATGTCTAGCATCAAGAAAAAAATCTGTTAGTTCTCCGATTTATTTTCTTACCGTGACTAATAGCTATAGGCAATAGTTAAATAGACTTTTAGTTAGACAAATGTTTGATGAAGATGAAGAAATTGATATATGTAATCAACCATTTTTATTTATTATCATATAACTATTTGTTTCATCTATTTCAGATGAAATTAATAAAAAACAGAAATTACTGCCAACAAATTCCTTACACAACCAACTGAATAGAATCGAACAAAATATCTTAAAAAAATCTGAAGAATCGTTATCGTCATCAGTATTTAAATGTTAACGTAAATTTTAACTAAAAAATATGTTTTTTCATAGTGTAATATGTCTCTAGAAGACTTGAGAAATAATACAAATCTAACAAAAAATTCACCTAAAATTGCTAATCTTGATGCTGAGTACTTTTATAAAATAAAATTTTTCAAATTTATCTAATCATAAAATAGGTCTAGACAAAATTTGATGAAATCCGATGAAAACATTTCCGGTAGATCGAGCCAATTATCTTCATTTTCGGATACGAAAAGTACTGAAACGACAAAAAGTGAATTAATTCAACGTATTCTCTATTCTTTTAAACCTACAATAAACTTACAATGCTCGTTGGATAATACAACCGATGGATCTCTATCATCGATTAATGAAAGAATCATTCCATGTCAATCATTAAATCTTTCGAATCAAATTTATATTCATTTTAAAGATGCAAATGAATTAGGTTTAAAACCTCATACAAATGATTTACTTGAAAGAATTAACTATGCAAATAAATGTACATGTCATCGAATTGAAATTAATTTTAATAATCATATTCTCAATCAAGAACTATCCTATAAACAAAAACAATCAATATTACGTATTGTTTTACGTCGACAGCAAATTTTTGATCAATATTTTTCTCAGACATCTGCGTAAGATATCATTTATTAATCTACTCGATACGCTCAAATATTAGTCACTTAAATATATCGCAAAGTTGAACGAAAAAATGAAAGTATTTCGATTTTGCAATAATTTTTATGGTACTCTATCTATGAAAAGTATTGTCTAGAAAATAACTCGTTCACAAAATGTGCACTAATAAGTTATTGAATTTGTTTTCGACTAGAAAAAAATTCATTGAAATCTTAAAATTATAGTTCGACTCAAATTAGAACTGAACATGTTTTTCACTCTGATCAAGAAATCTTTCGTTTAATTTAGAAATTAGTATAAATTAAAAAAACACACGATTAATTCAAATTCTATTATTGGAATAATCTCAATTAGTTTGAAACCATCAGAGAGAAATTCTACTAGCTAATTATAATCATACAGATTTCATTCAGAACATTAGTTTGTATTACGTATTGATTCGATGTCATATACATATATATATATATATATCTTTGTTTATAGATTTTGTTAAACTAATTAAAAGTGTTGTTGATAATAGATTAACATGTTTTATATTAGATATAATGCTTTAAAAAATGGGGAAAATCAGCTTCTGTTAGGATTGGCTATAATGTAGTTCAGATATGCTCTATGAAAAAACTGGGTATTTTGTTTTTACATGACTTCTTGTTTATTCAGTCGATCAAAAAAAAAGAGGCTAAGAAATCAAAAAGAATAAAGATTAAAAAAAACTTTCTTACCGTATAATTTGTATTTTCTTAGATGTTACTGAACAGACATACACAAGCTAGACATGATTCTTAAAGAGAAAGATGAAAATGTATAAACACGTGATAACTAAGTTTCTCTCTATTCTTCTGTCTATGACTAAACAAGCTAAAGTGATCTCGATAATGTATACATATATATATATATATGTATGCCGTACAAAGATGAAATTCGGCGGGATGGTAATTATTCATGATATGATTTTCGTTCTTATCTATTTAAATTACTTCAAAATAAAGAACAAAGAGAATAGTATCATACGAATGCAAACTAATATAATGCCTTGAAATTTTTGTTGTTATCATGCAGAAACATATGCAAGAATTTTTAAACTGATTACTTGGTTGAGAAAATGAATTAGATTTCAAAACCTATACATATTGTAAATTACAATTTGTAATTTATATATGAAGTGATATTTAAGAGAATTATGACGATATTTTCGTTTAATTTAAGGTACCGCTAAAGCAGAATTGGAGTAGATTTTGTTTCTCGTTTATTTATATATGATTTGATAGAGCTTGAAAAGCTGATCAAGAATAAATACTTTTTATTTCGATTCGATTTTTTTTGGCGGAGAAAATCTTTAAAAACTAGAACGACTGAAAAATGCTGCTTTTATGTTAAATTTTATTTTTTTACAAAAATTACCTAATTTCGATTCCAATTATTTTCTGAACATTTTTAAAGTACTCTATTCTGAATCAGCATGAAAAACTGAATAGGAAAATGTTATTTGGTTTGATGTAGACTTGAGAAAGAAAAAAATTTCTTATCTCATCTGAATAGCTCCATCAGACGCTTTTTGTAAGAAGAGGCAGAAACAATTGTCTCATCTCATTAGAGTTGCCAAATCATGGGTTACAACAGTACCTATTTTGTTTTATCAAATTTTTATTTCTTTGTTGAGAAATTTGAATTTTCTCGCTGTTGGGTGATAGTAAGTAGCAAAAAGACGAAAAATGTGCATTGATTGACCAATTTTCATAACAATAACTAATGCAAACGGCAAAACCAATAGTATATTCGAAATCAGTGTTAAAATCTACATCGACTCATATATATTTAGTTGAATTTTATTTTCTGAGAAAAATTCATTTGTGGGGCACTAGGAGAAAATTTTTAGGAAATTATACCTGAAGGGGGCCACAGGCTTTTTTCCGTCAGAAATATTTTTGTACCAAACACATATGAGTCGATGTAGATTTTAACGCTGATTTCGAATATGCTATTGGCTTTGCCTTTTGCATTAGTTGTTGTTATGAAAACTGGTAAATGAATGCACATTTTTCGTCGTTTTGCCACATAATATCCCCAAATAGGGAAAAAATTCAAATTTCTCAACGAAAAAATAAAAATTTGATAAAACAAAATAGGTACTTTTGTAGCCCATGATTTGGCGATTCTAATAAGATAATATAATTATTTCTATCGCTTCTTACCAAAAACTGGATAGCTTTACAAGAACGCTCACTGACATATACTTTTCGTCTGATGGAGGTATTCAGATGAGATAAGAAATTTATTTTCTTTCTTAAGTCTACATCAAACCAAATAACATTTTCCTATTCAGTTTTTCATGCTGATTCAGAATATAGTACTTTAAAAACGTTCAGAAAATAATTGGAATCGAAACTTGGTAATTTTTGTAAAAAAATAGAATTTAACATAAAAGCAGCATTTTTCAGTCGTTCTAGTTTTTTAAGATTTTCTCCGCCAAAAAAGAATCGAATTGAAATAAAAACTATTTATTCTTGATCAGCTTTTCAAGTTCTATCAAATCATATATAAATAAACGAGAAACAAAATTTACTCTAATTCTGCTTTAGCTGCACCTTATAAAATTCATTTTTTGCTTTTTATTTTAACACAACATCTTTGAAATTTGATTGTTTTTATTATTAATATTTGTATAAAATAATCCAAATAAAATAGGTATTATATAAAATTTTCAAAAATATGACTATATCTATCCTGATATGAGCCCGTATTGAATAGTACCATTTAGGAAGTTGTGTAGCTGTCATATATCAACAACTTCATACAATAATGTGAATAAAATGCTAATGAAATTCAAGGTTAAAAAAAGGGCAACTGCGTTAATCATCCAATGATTACCGCGAGAAGAAAAAATAAACTTATTGATTCAATAAACCAATAGTTGGATTAATGGATTATGACCGTGCATAGGACGGTAATGTCATTGAAACATTTTCATATTGTTTATTATTTTGATATTCTAAATATAGATGAAACTTTTTGATCAGTATAGAACGACTTCTGTAATATTGTTTGCTCTCATATTTTCGGTGATTAGGCATAAATTACGATTATATAAAAATCTTGATTTTTTAAGAAATTCATGAACCAGTAAGCAGCATAACTACTGTTTAATGATCAATTAAATAAGTATGCTTTTTCAATCGTGTAAAATAGTCTTGACACTTTCGTGTTAAAAAACAACTTGTAAGGATAAATAAGAACCCATGTATCATCATTAAATCAGCATTATAGTCTTTTTTCTAAATATATCAGTTGTCTATCTACAAATCAAGATAGGTAAAAACAAATTTGCCATCAAGAAAATTTTGTTTTGATCGCTGTATCTCTTCGTAATATATTGAAACGCGCCAAAAAACTATATTTGGCTTATATTGATTATACGATTAAATATGAACTTAAGTTCAAACAAAACTACGATCTACCTATAAAGCGTCTAATAAAATTTGGCAACAATGAATTATTCTTTCATATTTTTAATATTTCAATGGAATAGAAAATTTCGATCTAAAATCATGCTGGTAATTAGAGGTGTCAGAGTTCCCCGTTCCTAGCGTTCTGTTCCTAGAAACAGAAACGCATCGCAAGCTGCGATTTTAAAGAGATTCTAAATGACTCGAAGTTTTTATCCATTATTCTTTATCATTTTATTTCATAAAATTTTTCCGTACCCGTTCCTAAGAATGGGAACTCTGGTCGCGTTTCCATTCTCACGGACCAAACGCGAACGCGACACCCCTACTCGTGATACTCATAATCATGTTGGTGTCTAAGTTACTAATCAAAATTAATGTATGATTAATTTTTCCCCGTGCATAGTGAACTTTGCCAGAAATTTATATATTTATAATGCAATATTTCATTTCGAAAATTATGTAATTCACTAACTGTATACACTAGGGAAATGTTCGTCTATCTATCGGATGATGAAAAGCTTAATTGCGAAGAATTTATTATGATTATTGTTCCATAAATCAATGATAACGTTTATTTTATGTTTTGTAAATCAACAAAAAGTTGTCTTTCAAATATTCAATAGTAGAAGCTGAAACAGAAAGCAGTGATTTTACTTTAATACAAATCAAAAAAGTAATTATAGATGCATTTTTATCTAGCGAGTAAATAGAAGATTGCATTATGGTGATTATATGAGATATCAATCCGATTATGTGAGGAATGCTTGCATTGAAATTACGAAATTGAAGTAATCGTAATAGTTTACAATTATTATTCATCTGTCGTAGATGATAAGCATGCGTGAATTAAAAAAAATTGTCAAAAACAAAAAAATATAATGACAGCTTGGGAATAGATAAGTTCAAGCATTTCGTTTTCGCTTGAAAAGCCTCGGACTATTGTAATACAAATGAATCGTCTCTTTTCTTGCGTCGAAAGAATGTTAATAACTAGTTTTTATTTTTCGCTACTCTCGTATTTGATGTGCTTCATTTAATGAGAAAGAGA